CATTTCAATAGTAATAGTGACTCCATAACCTACAAGTTCTATCATGGTGATGAAGTTGGCATTTTAGCAAATTGTATATTCATCTGGTTCGTAAGAATCATAGATCCTCAATCCATAATGAGTTTTAGACTTTCCCATCTACCAACCTTCATTCGGTTACTCTACATCTCTTGTAAACTCCTCCTCAACATATTTGAGAGTCTAATACGGTGTTTTGAAAGGCGCTAGGTGCTAAGGTCTCAAAATATTCGAGGTGCTAAGCACTCACCCAAGTGAAGCGAGTCATACTAAAATATTAAAATATTAATATATATATTATAATTAATAAATATGATCATAAAAAAAATGTCATATTAAATTGAAATCAAACAGCCAACATGAAATATATATTACAGGATATAATTTTTTGACTACTATGCCTAGGTTGACTCATAATTTGAGCTCAATCCCATTCAGTAGGATGATTTCTAAGCCAAATCTAGAAATGGATTAGTCAATTGGCATCTTGACGGAATTAGAGCAAGAGTGCTATTTATTGTGATTTAATACTTAATGCACTACTTATTGCTTTTTACAGCGCACTAAATACCACTTATTGCTACTTAGTGCACTATTTATTGCTGCTCACAGCACACTAATTGCTTCCCACGTCCATCATGTGTCGGGTCTTGGGTGTGAGAAAAGGTAACCGTGAAAGGAAAGTGAGAGGAGAGAGATCACATCAGCCTTCAGCCCTCCCATCCGCCCCTTCAAAACCTTATCTTTTCGTCTTCCAACAAGATCACTTTTGCCCTCCCATCCGTTGTGTATTTTGACCTCCCATCCTGCCTTCAAAACCCTAGCTTTTTGCCTTCTAACAAGATCACATCTTCTGCCCTCACATCTGTCTCCAAGCATAGTTCGATTCTCCACCTTGAAGCACTAATCGATTTTGTTGTATTCGCCTTCAGGTCAGTGCCCTTCTTTTCACCTAGACCCTTTTCTTTTCCAATCTCATCTTTTTCTTCCAATTTCTTATGCTATGCCACTTTCACTCAGGCACTCGCCCAAGGCACACAATGCCTGGGCTTGGGCGAGTGCCCAAGCAGCACTTCAATAAATCACTTCGCCTAGAGGTCATGCGTGGCACTTGGGCCTCTCACCCAAGCGCCTATTAACCAAAAGTGATAATTAGTACGCTATAAAAATCAATAAGTAGTGCAATAAATAGCAATAAGTAGTGCATTAAGTATTAAATCGTAATAAATAGCACTCTTGTTCTAATTCGGTTGCGTCAAGATGTGAGCTCAAATTATGAGTAAACTCAGGCATAGCAGTCAAAGAATTGCATCCCGTAATATATATTTCAAGTTGGCTATGTGATTTCAATTTGATGTGATACTTTTTTATTTTTATGAACATATTTATTAATTATAATATATTTTTTATATTTTAATATTTTGAAGCGTCTCGTTTTGCTCGGGCAAGCACCTAGGCGAGCACTTAGTGCCTCGGGCATTTTAAGACCTTAGCGCCTAGAGCTTTTCAAAACATTGCCTTCTAGATGAGAAAGGATCTAAATGAGAAAGGACTATATCTTCCATGAAGAAGCCTAATCCATATTTATAACAATCATCATAACTAATAAAGAAGAATAGTATGCACAATCAAATAATGAAATAATGTAATTCAAAATAGATAAAAGAACATCAATTTTATTCTGATAATTACTAGTTCTAGATAACATTTTAACTATTTTACCAAGTCACACATCTCTAGATGTTCAAAAGATATCAAACGTGAAGACAATCCATTAATATACATACAAACAGCATGCTAAGTGACCCATAATACATTGTAGCATGTTTATTCTGGATAGCATGGTACAGAAACAAATCTACATACAGTACTGTGAGCTAGCAGAAACATATCACTTGTGATGTTAGATTGCTGCAAGTGATATAAGAAAGCAAGTAAGAGGTTCCACAGATGCAATCATGAAGCATTAAAAGCACAGCCTAATTTGCCTTAGAACTAGGTCATGTACAAGATCTTTGTTTTTACATAGTTTTCTAGTTTGTGAGTTGAAGTAGCAATCAGTTATTGTAAAAGCCGCTTAAGTTAGAGAGAGGACTTCAACAAATAACAATTTCTTCTACACAAAGGCCCTTGATACATGGAAAGTTGACACTATTGCAGTTAAGCTTAAATTTCACTCATAAAACCTTTGCTGCATGAGAGATATGACAGAATACTGATTAGAAAAAAAATCATTATTAGAAATTTCATCAGTTGATAATATTATAATTTAAGTTTAGATTGTACTCAAGATACCTTTGCTGCATGACAAATATGCCCAATTGCTGAGAAAAAATATTGATATTAGAAATCTCATCAGCAAAATTCTGGGTTCAGAAAACTTTGAAATGCCCAAGTTGGTAGTCCCTGCCTGTTACAGATGCCTGCCCTTCCAGTAGTTGATATATTGCTTCGACAAAGTCCTTATAGTACAATACAATACCTGTTATGCACCCATATACAACTATTTTCATTCGAGAGAATTCATGACCATAATAAGAAGCAAATTAATATTTAGAATGATAACAACAACAAAAAATATCAGTAAGTAGCTCATTAACATTTTGGAATTTAAGTGTCTATATCTACAACACCTGGGTTTCCGGGGATTAAAAGAACATGCAATGAGGATTCTTCAGAGCGCATCTCAAGCAACTCAATGGGAAAGCTGCAAAACAAGAGTGATTATTCCTAAAACTGTCATAGTGACTTGTTACTTTTTTATTCCAAGCGATTACAAACAATTTAAGAGTAAGAAAGCAAGCATTTCTTTAGAATTCAACAGATATAGCAGGATTAGTTAGAACCATACCCAGAGACGGTGCATGTTCGCACTGTTGCTTGCTTTCTCCCACAATGTGACAATGTTAATCTATCCATTGACCCTGAACACCTTGGAGAGATATCCTTTCTGATGGACCTATAGCGCTTTAAAGTGTTTAAGGAAGAAACATTAGCATTAATTAGAACGTATAATTACTTATCACACATAAGTAGCTCATGTTGAAGAAGAAGACAAGAACTGTCGAGACTGGAAAAAAATAGTTAACAATCGCATCTCATCTCGTTGATGATTGTTTTTTCCTGGTTGCGCACGGTTGGTCAAAATTGATATTGACGCTAGAGCTTCAAGTGTATGATTGAGAATACAAGGAAAAAGTTTTAAAAGAAGCATATGGTCAAAAAACCTTTAAAAGACCACAATTGACACAATTTTGATTTCTGAATAACAAAAAGGGAAGCCTGGTGCACAAGACCCTCAGCAATGCACGGTCTGAGGGGGGTTATTTATACGAAACAAAGTCGAAACTTTGCCACTTAACAAAGAAATAAAAATAAAAGGTGAATATCAGTTCTCACAACATAACAAAGAACTTTGTTGTGCTCGTTAGCCGATCCTCATATTGACACGACAAAAATGCTTTAATGATTGAAGGCGTTCATTATTCCTTCGACAACAACCGATCGAACTCCAATACTTCTCTTTCTTTTCTATTAGGGTTAACAAAATCTTGATTGGGCACCACTAGTCAAGGCCTAATCAAAGAGGGATCTCCTTCCTTCCGGACAAAATCTTGATTGGGTTTCGAAAATCCCAAAAGCTTTAACTGTTAGCAAAGGATCCAATCTTCTCATCCAACAATCACATTAACCCCGGAACCTCGCTTCAGTGGAAACATGCGCCGATTCATGACGATCCAAACACCAAATTAAATTGACCGTAAATTTAAAACCCCAAAATCAAGAGACCAAAACACTAAGGAAAAGTCACAATGGAAACGACGATGCTACCCTAAATAACAAGAATACGAGAAGCACTAGAGAATTCACAGCAGAATTAGCGCTACCTAAATCGATCGGTGCCGAGAGATGGTTTCTTGGTGCTAACCAAATTATTGTTTATAAAAGGGGAGGAAGCGCAAGAAGAAGAGGAGAAAGCTGGACGCATATACCGCGGCGATCTTGGAAAGAAGGTTGTGCGGAGAAGGCGAGAAGCGTGGCGGACGGCGACGTCGGGAGAGCTCACGCGCCACATCGCTTCACTAAGAATCCTTTCTTCCCTTCAATCTCTGGGCCGAACCCAATCAAACGACCATCGGGCCTCCGTATTATTGAAGATGTTTTTCCATCTCTGTCCTTGTACAGTATTCGAATTACGAAACTATCTCCATATATATATATATATATATATATATATATATATATATATATATATATATATATATATATATATATATATATATATATATGAAAGACAAGATGAACAATAGAGGAGAAAAAACAGAGGTCAGTCAACCATCAAGATTCATAGACTGAGATCACAACCTTAGTCAACGTTGATGTCTTCCACCTTCATCTAGATCAAGCTTACAACACTTCTAGAAAAATCTTTGGTGGAAGAATTCAAGGACCACAATTTCCATTTTTAAATCATAAAAAGAGAAAATACACAGAGCAAATAATCCCAAAAATTAATTCCGAGATTCCTAAATGCCAAGGCATTGATTTTGACTGAAAGTCCAATGGCATAATCTAATTTGAACGATTCAATTGTAGATTCCTTGGGTGGCAAGTTGACCCGGACCAGGTCAAGCACACCCAATTTGATCGAACCGGACCACATCAATCTGAAATCAAGATAGGCCGAACCCAATTGGGCTACGAACCGGGAGAGGAAGAGTCGAACCGTACTGCACAAAATTACAAATTTACCCTCGTGGACGGTATTTGAGGGAATTGTTGGGGGTGATGTGGGTATTTTAGTCTCAAAGGTGGTAGATCTGACGGGATCTATTCATCTTTGCGTGTGGATTTTTCGCGGGAAGCCGTCCCGCGAAAGCAACTACCGCTTCTTTCTTCCCTTCTCCGCTAAGTCAACCCAAAACAGAGTCAGAGTCGAGAAGAGGAGAAGGAAAACAGATAAATATAGCAATTGTTTGGCTTCCGGCTTCGAATTCTCGACCCACCATTCCCTCTTTCTCTCTCTCTCTCTCTCTCCCTCTTCCTCTTCCTCTTCCTCTTCTCCTGATCTCCTCGAGCTCAGAGCCAAAGACTCACGACCTCTCAGAAGTCAACGCCAACCAACCAGAAGACAATTCCTCTGCTTTAAGGTGCACACGAAGAGCTTGGCTTAATTCTATTCTTCTTCTTCTTCTTCTTCTTCTTTTTCTTCTTCTTACAAATTTGGGTTTTCATGGTTCATTGAAGATGTTGGCAGAGTACATAACCAGACTTCTCGTGTGAGTAATCAATGTTTCCTTCATCCATTTTTTTCATCTTCAATCTCAATATATGAAAGCTTGAGCTGAGGATTGCAAGCACAACCATGGCAGGGTGGTGTTTGGATATGCTTATCCAGCTTTCGAGTGCTTCAAGACATTAGAGCAGGGTCAAGGCAACGCACAGCAGCTTCGATTCTGGTGCCAGTACTGGTAATTACTACCTCTCTCTGATGACAGAGGAACATAAAACTATCATTTTTTTAGTTTGTCCTGTTCATATGGTTCATCAAGCAGATCATGATTGAAGATAATGCAATACTTTTGGATCCTTGCTTTATCTTATACAAGGAATAAAGTCAGGCAAAAGCTCCTAAAGGGGGTTGGTTTTGGTGAAGGGAAGTTGGCCATCCTCTGTCGTATAGTGATAGTGTGTCGTGTAGTTTATCTACCTCTGATTAGGTCTGCTAACTTCAATCACATCCACAAAGTCTTGGCGGGCAAATGTTTACACGTTCTTTAATCGTCATGTTTGTTCGATTCGGAAGAGTTCTGATGGCATGAAACGTAAAACTTTGCAGGATCATTGTGGCAATACTAACAGTCATCGAGATGCCTGGCAATTTCCTTGTTTCATTGTAAGGATGAATCACTCAGCTTTTACTGTTCTTCATCTTTTTTTGCTATGTTTATGACTCGTTTTCGAATTCGATGAAGGTTGCCAATGTATGGAGAAGCGAAGCTGGCCTTCTTGGTCTACCTGTGGTACCCAAAGACGAAGGTAATTTAACCTGCACAACCAGATGAAGTGAAGAGATCAGCATTGGATGTTTCTTCCTCTCATGCGTGATGTGTGCAGGGAACTGATGTTGTTTATGAGACCTTCCTCCGGCCGCTGGTGATGCAGTATGAGCCTGACATCGAAGAGAGGTTTAGGAACCTGAGGGCTAAATCTGGGCAACTGCTTGTGTTCTATCTCAAGAACTTCACAGAGAAAGGGCAGATTTTGTTCTTGGAAGCCCTCCACTATGTGGTTTCTAAGTCATCAGGCAGCACTGAGGTAGCTTCTGATTGCCACTACATAGCTAGTGATAAAGATCTGCATGATAGAATCACAAGTTCAACACTGGAAATTTGATAGGAATCAGAAATCAAACATTGATAGATAGTATAAACATCTTTCTGAAATGTAGATGGCATCTCTCATCATTTTAAGAATGAGTAGTTGGCTTTAGATTGGTTGTCACTACTGGCACATTTATCAGACAAATAGAATGCACAAGAAAAGAGACCTACTTGCACATTCATCAGACCAAACCCATTATACATCCAACAACTTCACTGAAAGAATCATAAATGAATCAGTGATGGAGTCTTGCAATGATTCTTACAGCAACCACTCCACTGCTATCACAACATAATTTCTTGCTCTTTTCTTTTTTTTGCCTTTTACATCACTAAGGATTTTTTTTTTCTCTTTTGCTGAATTTTCTTTCTTCAGAAAACAAAACGATCATCATGGATGAGCCGGTTAGTCGCCAACAAGAAACAAGAGAAAGAAGAAAAAGAGAAACCAGGAGTAGAGAAATTGGAGGAGATTGCGGATGCTCTCCTTGGCGCCAACCCAAAGCAAAGGCGATCGCGTCCACACAAATAAGAGAGGAGAATAATGATAAATTTAGCGATATATATGGAAAAGAAAAGAAACATAATGTACAAAAATAGTTGTAATTTCACTTTTCTTGTGTTGCAGCCAACTTGATTTCTTGCAAACAATTTGAGTCAGTTAAAAAAACAATAGTTCCAGAGGAATATTAAACTTATAATTCCAACTTGAGACCGTATGCCAATGCTCGCATTATATGTGTCGATCAAGCCGTGTGATACATGCAGAATACATGACTATGGAATTTGAGATCCATGCTAGAACAATCGATCTGTCTATAAAGGTGGCAGATCTATAGTTTTGGTGCTCATAGATTTTAACCCTGGAAAGTTGCTCATAGAGAACACTCACTACTTAATTGGGCATGCATCACTCATCTCAATCATCAAAATGCACCCAGATAGTCACAACTACTGATCATCATGCAGGTTTTGAAAGGAAGAATAAGAAAGATTACATATTGAACTAATAAGAAAGCTTTCACGAGGCTAAAGCACATTTTGAGTGATAGCTTAGATTTCATGAGAGCTACACATCATCTTGTTCGATCTAAAGTCTATATGATAAACAGTAGAGCCAAGGAAGATTACATATTTCCAACATGTTTTAATACGGACTGCTCAAGTTGAGGAGCACAGAGAGATCTCAAGTGAAGTAAAGAAGGGGATCTAATTTCATGCATGAACAATACACTAGATGGATTACTCAACCATACACAACAACTGCCGCCGTTCCATCAGGTAATGGAACAGTACTCTTGCAAATAGCCTCACCGCTTGATCGCTTGATCGTCAGACTTTCGCAGCTTGCCCTAACGGCAATGACGTTGTGGGTCTCGGTGGATCTGATTGTCCCCACCAGAAGACGGATCTTCCATTTCTACATTAAACCTGTCCTGTATTTATCTAGGAGTCGAATTTGCATTAGAGGGGACATCAGTAACACTGGATGGAGTTTGCGGCTGATATGTGCTAGCACTACCCGTAACAAAGTCATCTGTGTTGAATACATCAATTCCATCCCATTGTACCTCAGCTAAAGACTGAGCTAAGGATTTCAAGCGATATTTAAAACATATTTTAAACAAGTACAGAAATAAGAATGAAACAAGTGATATCTTAAGAAGAAGGATACGTGCAGTCTTCCACATATCTGTAATGCTAAATCCAGAATCTGATAGAAGCCAGTAATCAGCATCAGTCTGCAAAAAAAGAAAAAAAAATCACTTTTCATGGAAAAGGAACGTTAAACAGGTGATGCTGTATCTTATCCTTTTCGACAGGTAGGAGCAATAAATTGCAGATGACCATCAAAATATAAAAGAAATGAAGATCATCAAAAAACCTCAGATGAGCTTCTCTGATTTCACACCTTTGAGATGTTAAATTAAAGCAGCAAGGAATAATATATATGAGTGAAAATGTCCTAATAATTAATGACAGATCAAATGTTCAAATAATTGAAAGCCAAGTATATGCAAAGAAGTTATAGCCAGCAAAATTAGTTAATGACAGATCAAATGTTCAAATAATTGAAAGCCCAAAAATAAACAAATTAGAAAAAGCAATCTCTGTCTATTGAGATTGTTTGTTCCTGTTACATAGAGGGGATCCTTAATGAATGGTACAATACAATTTCTATGATTCAAACCACACAAGTGAGTTGCATATGTGGACAATGGCTTAAGTGGAAATTGACTTAGGTGATCCTTAGAAGTTGTCACTAATAGGCATAAATTATTAATAATGTCAGTATCTGCATATTCGAAAATTGAGCTTACATCAACATCTGAAGGAACAATCTTCATCATGCCACTGCCAAAATCCTGCAAGGAGTTTACGTCAGGGAACCCCCTCTGACTATCTTGATTATTTACTTGCAGTTCCTTCTCTTTGCTCTCTTCCGTGGCAACAGCCAGCGTGGGGTTCCCAAGAGTTTCTGGGTTTGCCATTGATTTACCAGAATGGAGCTTTGGAGGTGTCACAACACCACTCACCTCCTCAAACTTCTCCTCAAATTGACTAACATAAAGTAAAATATTACCAAGGGGCAGCACATAAAAGACAGTTAATATTATAAAATGATAATTAAGAGGGAATTACTATTACCTAACAAGGTATACATCTATCGGACCCATCGTACTTCTTAGGACAATCCTGTATCTCCTCTGTAGATAATCACCAGCCTGCATGCAGAGGAAACAGATGCTACCCGATGCACAAACATACTAAAACTAAAAAATCTTTGCCAAGACCTTCCCTCTTCTTACCTCATCAGGATCTGGAACTTCCAGGGTAGTACCATGAGGCGCTTTTATTGCTATTAATGTTTCATTCTGCATATAAGAGGCACGAATATAAGGTAGCAATAATTGTAATGGAGAAGCAGCCAGTATCTTATTGCCATTCTCAGAGTAAACGAGCCAACAGACCAACACCTGAAAGCATGGTAGACTTTTGATGTCATCTTCGGTCATATACAGCCACCTGAAGGTACAAAAACTTACAGCGTATGGTTACTACATGGTTGGATAACCAACAAATCTAAAATACAAATGCAAGAAAAACACTTACTTCTGATTGTTTACATCTTCACTAAGCACCCCTAATTTTTCACGCATTTCACTGTGAAAAGAATTGTTTGTTTCAGCATAATTGGTAGAATGTATGACAGCAATAACCTAGTAGCTACAACAAAAATTAACCTGATACGATCATCTAAACTGTGCTCTTGCAAAGCAAGTTTTTCAACTTCTGCCTGAAGAAAATGAAACTAGGAAAACTTAGATGAGTTGACTCATTTCACTATAAAAAATTTCACAACATGGGCTCAGATTAGACAAATCTAGAGTGAGAACAGTGCTTTTTAGTCCTGGGAAGAACATGCATGTGTGCATCATACCTGTAGGACTGAAAGATCATCATCAACTTCTCCTGGTCTTGTGTTATCTTGTCCTCTGTTATGCAACGAGCTAAGAATTATGTACCATGCAAAAAGCTCCTCATTTTGCAAGGAGAAAATTTGAGTATAATGGGAAGAACAAAATAAAACTCTGCCAGCAAAAGGATGAATTACTTCCAACGAATTTTGTTCTTGAGTTTCTTTTCTATAAGTCCAATCCCTTCAAGGACATTAGTTATGTCATAAATCCGCCTCTTTTGCACCTACACAATATAATCCTTGTTTTAGTATAAATAAACTTTAGGTAATTAAAATATTAGCCATCTGCAGTACCCCAAGTGTTTCCGCAGCATTATTCAAATCAAGGATGCCATCGTGTGCATGTTTAAGCAAATTAATGAACTTTTTGGTCAGAAGTCCTGAAAAGAAAATTACATCACACAATCGTCAGAGACAAGCAAAGGCAGTTCCCAGTATATTCTAAGATTCAAACTTTTCTAGACAGAATTTAGACAAGCCATGACTTTAATCACCTAGAGAGCTGTCATAACGGCAAGTACCAACAGGAGTGAGAGTATTGCCTGAAGGAGAACCTGCAGCACCAAAAATGATGCTGATAAAATTTGTATATGCAGATCAAATGCAGACCAGAGCCTTCAATTGGAAAGTAATCTTATCTAAGCTTGATAATTTAAATAAAGATAACAACACCAGATCATTAGCCAGTTGCCAATAGGTGCATGTATACCATAACTGACGAGTGAGTTTTCCTAGTGCAGAGATTAACCCGTTTTTTGATGGTAATGGAAGGGCGAATTTACTCACCAGCATTTGACATTGGGGTATGAGGGCCAGACTTATTGTACTTGGCAATTTTGGATCTCCCATATGTCTTTCCTCCTTTTCCTGATACCGGTGTGAGAAGAAGATTATTAAGTCCTTCAGCATAACCAGGACTAGCCATCCACTCACTTGATTCTCCAGCTTCATTATCTTCGTGTTCACGCTTCCGCTTCAACTAACATGTGAAATATCATTTTTCAATGAATTACAACCAGTAACTCAAACTTTCAAATTGATTTAAAGACGATGCATCTCAGGAAATTTGATGGCACAATATTAAAGTACCTCATCATGTGATTAAGATGCACCTAGATGGGAAGTTCACATACATCTAAGGGGTATTAAGTATAAGATCTAGAATACTGATAAGAATCGCAAAACACGCACACACATAAACTAGACCAACAAGCATGATGTTCCATTCCTCAGCGTCGATAGATGTGGATAATTACCTAACAGCATGAGTATTCAAGACACTATATCTATCACAGTTTCTGCATTCTGTCATAAGGACAAAGACTAAAGATACTTGAGATGGATCCCTATAATTTTCATTAAATAAACTATATTCCATGCTGCATGAAGGTCAATGCCATAGTCATCTTTCCTGATGACAAGATGTCTTGGTTGAACAAATATAAACACTGTCAAATTTGAAGGAGCTCTACAAGTACTTTAGTCTCAACCTATTTCTAGAATGCATACATTTTCTTTTAGCAACGGGCAAAAACAGAAAAACCAAAACCTACTAGCAGTGTCTTCCAATCTAACCATAAGGAACTTGAAAACCAATCCTGAATGAACGTGTGCATTTGTTACACCACTATCAATCCTTGAAATTTTGTTAAACAGAGAACATTCTCAAATAAAACTTCGAATGCTTAAGCACAACTTGCTTGAGTTAGTTACATGACCCTTCAGAATCACCTATGATTGAGTCAAAAGATCAAGTCCAAAGATCCTTAATTTTCTGTTCTTTTCTAGTATAAAGCTAATATCAGAGTATTTGCTTCAAATCAATGGCACTGGAATGTTAAGCACAGAGACACGGTATAATGGTAATGACAGTTGTCTGAAAACAGTAACCATGCTGTTAGCTTAACCTATATGTTGCTTTCCTTTATGCTAGATCTTAAAAAACCAAAACCTGTGTGAAAATCACACATATTCTTATCCTCCACAATACAAATGTAAAGATGAAACCAGCCGAGATTTGGCCTTTCGGGACCTTATCTTGCTAAGATGGTCGAAAAGACCCGATCAAGCGGTGAGCTTGGAGAGTAGAGTCGAGGTAAGGTCAGGAAGGATAGCATACAAGTGAAGCCCACTTGAGAGAAGTTAGCTGGGGTTTTCCAAAAGGAATCGAGGATGTATAGAATGGAGATTCACTTTCTATGGATTCAAAAGTGGGGCAAGGACCATCCTTGCACATGCACAAAGGGGTGGAAAATGCGCTAATAGTGAGCGAGCAGAAAATCTCCGAAGAAAGAGAATGAACACTATTCTTATCTAATCGATTGTACACCAGCAGGCCTTAGGTAGTCCAACAACAACAACAAAATGTTATGTCACAACAATGTGGAACTGGTTACATGGATCTCCCTGCCATTGACTTCCATGTAGGACAAGAGGAAGTAACCATATAATGAATAATTTCCGAAGCCATAATGTTCCAAACATTCAGAGTGAGCTACCCAGGTCCCTTGAAACATGTGATCAAGTCATCATATTTATTATACTATCATTTGCCAGTACCTTGAAAAAAACATTAGTACCATTTATACTCAATGGTGTCCTTCAGAAGCCTTAAAGTTTATACCTGTCTCTAATTTTACTTCCACAAAAGCTTAAAAAATCATTAATTGTTGCTACATAAGATGCTTCTGTGAAACATGGCCCAAATTTGGGTATACCTAGATCCTAAAGAGGCTCAATCTATAGCATGCACAAAATATTAGACCAACAAAAGCTGCACATATCTTCACCATTCGCGTCAATTTCTCAGCTTCACAGAGCAGCAACAATAGTCCCTAGATTTAATATTTCAAAGAATCTTTAACCATGTTTTGGCGCTAAAACATCATATGAACACAAATCGTCATCTCTATTTCGCTCAAGTATCAAAAAGCTAAAGAAAAGGGGAAAACAATCAATTCCATCTGAAAAGACACAAAAGGGAGAAACAAAATAAGGAAACGAGACGAGAAAACTTACAGGCGTTTTGATAACCAGGGCATCGGCCGTCTCATCGCCAGCGATTCCCCGCCCGTCGGGGCCCGGGAAGCGATGGTACTCGTCCGGGGCGAGGAACGGGGGCCTCGTCGAGGGGAACGGCAGGTGCCGCTTCGGCGGCTGTCGGATCTGCCCAGTCGGCTGTGGCGCGCGAATCCCAGCTGCTCGGCCACCAGACATCGACCCCCAACCCAAAACCAACAAAATCACAAGACGAAACCCCACAAATCACCGATCTCCAGGCCGGGACAAGCAGATCGTTCTCCGATACGGAATCCGAGCACAAAACCCTCTTTCCTGGTCGGCTTCCAGCAGCGGAGAGGAGCAGATCCGATGGCGGCGCCGAAGCGGCGGCGGCGGGGGATCGGCTGCGTGGGGGCGATTGGGGCAGGGTCTCGAATCGGGCTGTCTACGATCTGTAGATTGAGGAGTAGAAGGAGGAGGGAGAGGCAGTGGAAGGCGTGTGTGGAGGTGGGAAAGGTGGAGAGCAGGAAACGAAGGAAGCGGAGGGAGGGAGAGAGAGAGAGAGAGAGGGAGGGAAATTGTTGTGTTCGGAGTTGGGATGGATATGGAGGGAAGACGCGAACCCTCTCTCTCTCTTTGTCTCTGTCTCTCCTATTATTAATTAAGTAATTTAATTATTTAATTAATTAGTATTTCTCCGTGTAAAGCCATAAAACAATCATGTGTTAATTGCGTAAGTACGCCGCCGTAAGCAACGATACCCCACTTGGAGGTTCCATCATGTGGGTGGACCCTCGGATCGCATCTCACGGTCGTCGCGTTTGAGATGGACTCGATGAACGGTCGAGATGTTCCGCTCGAGCAGGTTGCTCTTGTCACATCAGAAGCGGTGTGGAGATCAGCCGTTCGAATCGGCGATGCGCGCCAAATCCTCGCGAATCTTTTCTCTTTTCTTTCGTAACGGGTCAAGACCCCAAGGAGAAGATCCGCTCCGTCGAGCGACGACCGTCTGATGTGACCGCGCAGCCTTCCAGGACGGATCTGGACGGTCGCTGCTGGCAAAGAGACGCGTGCGCGGTCAAGGATCCATTTTGCCGGTTGGGTGGGTGGAGCAGCTTCTCGAACCCGTGATCGCACTGGGGAACATAGTCGGGCCCACGATGTAAGAGGCCGTTGAGAGCAGACCATGTCACCCCGGACATTTCTCGAGGGTGATTCAGTCGGACTCGACAATCTGGCGGCGAAAACAAAATAATATTTATTTATAGGGACAAGGATAAAAAAATTAGTAAATAATAATAATAAAAGGGGGCAAACATGTCATTTGGTTGAGTTTCCCCGAAGATAATGCTAAATTATATGGGAACAAACCACACACTATTCATCAACATTTGAAGATTACATTTGCATAAGATCAATAAGAGAAGAGGTCATAGCTAAAAACTCTCCCAAATTGGTTTACAAGTTGCAATCACATTGTCTTCTGTGCCACTCACTAAACTTGCTTATTACCCCCCCCCCATTGACAGCACCCAACAAGTGGAATCAAATCCAGAGCTCACTACTGACTCTCTTACCATAACCTACAGATCCGTACTCCAAGAATCTTCTCTGTTGCCTCAGAATGGAGAACAGCTTCCTCGAAACTTAAATCAGCAATATCTACAACCATAAGCTACCAATCACAACCCTTGTAATGTAGTCAGGAACTCCTGGCAGCCAACAGGATTATTTGGCAACAAACCTTGTTAGACAAGATTGTGCCAACAGAATTATTTGGCATACTACAGTGTATGCCAATCTTTTGAAGTGAGACATCAGTGCTGGGGTACTGATGTCCTTCATTGCAGTTGAGCAATCCACATTGTTGACAGAGCAGGCACTCCTGAGTACGTGCAAAGTTGGTAAAAGAAGTAAAATTGATGACCAAATCTTTTTAGAGTTTTAAGATATTTACCTGTAGTGAATTACTGTAAACATGATGTGATGATCCTGGCTATGAGAGCCATAGTAGTTGGGTGACCAGAAGCTAAAGAACAGTTCAAACAATTGGATATAGTTACTACTATAAAAGAGAACAGTCAGGTAATTAGAATATTTCTCACTTACAAGAAAATAAAAGAAAAAAAGAAGGTAGTCAAAAAGATTCTTCCAGAACATATTCCATCTTCGGACCTACATATTACTTTTCTAACTTGTTTTCTGCATTTCAAAAAATATGATTGTCTTCCTCCTCCAATGTACTGTAAAAGAAGAAGAAATGAAGTTGCAACCTATAATGTTGATACCCACTTAACTACCAGGGGGAAGACACCTATGTTATTACTGGCATCATCAACTGATAAAGATGATAAACTAGTTAACCATATATTCCAGTTATGGATCATCCATGTCCAGTTCCAGGTGGCTTCATGGCATAAGGATTTCTGTCGACAAAAGCATGTAATCTTTGGTCACAAACCGTCTATAACAAAGGCTTGCTTCAGTGGAGGCATGACTCTTACCAAGATTTCCTGGCTGTTATTTTCTTTCCTTGCAGGCTTATTTCTCATTATGAGATACCAGATTATGATTCTGCTGGAGCAGGAAAAGAGCAAGACATAAATGTAACAAATGATGACAATTAGATCCCCTTTTTACGTGATTAAAAGGGAAAGCTCGCTAGATTAAGCAGACAGAAACACTGACAAACATTTGATGCATCATTCAAAAATCATCACCAAAAGGAGCTTACATAAAACAGAACTCTTATCATTAAAACTTGAGCATCATGAATATATAAAACTAAAGTTTCCCTTAACAGAAGACTAAAGTTCACTTAACAGAAGAAGACTTGAGCATCATGAATATATAAAACTCTTCACTGAAACCATTAAAACTAAAGCTTCCCTATCACATAGAACAGCATGCTCATCTTAATACAACTCTATGTGACTTAGGCTGATTGAACTCTTATCAGAAATCTGGAGGTATCATCACGATCACTATTGGGCGCACTCCCAAACCAATAAAATAGGTGCAAAATTGAGGAGGGTTACGTAGCCTTACCTTGCTAGCGACAGTCTTGTGGCAACAAATGAGAAGACTATCGACCACTGTCAGGAATGGCCGAGCAGCTTTAAGTCGAGCAACCAAATATGCCAAGTGACCTTTTAGGTTATTACCAAAAATAAGTGAGTTATTTTGTCATGCAATTCTCACCAGGCTCATGCAAACACCATTTTGATAGAAAAAAAGCACACCAACATCGATTCCTATCTGTGAAGAAACAGATGTGACATCCTCTAAATCTTTAATCTTAACCCTCTTTTAAGGTATTTGTTAGTGTCCAACTATCGTCAACACTCGACAGGTTAACTTTGTATATTAAAAAGCATCAACTAGGCATATCCATGTTCTGAAACCAAAATGAAACCAAAAGGTAACAAGTAATCTCATACTTAACTCTATTATTCTTTAAATTGAAGAGTTAATAACAATCCCTAAGAAATATCCAGAATGACCAACGGTTTTTAGATTCATGATATGCCCACTTGTTAGGTGATATGGACTGCAGCAGTACCAGTTGTCAAGAATAGCCATGAGAGGCATGATCCAACACTGTGTGGGCAGAACCCTCTACTCAGTGGTAGTATGCTGGCACATTAAATTTGTGTACCAAACTGCATGATTTCTTGGGTTCTTCAAATCCAAGGTCCCAGTCCATTCTGTGCTGAGTAGGTCTGAATCCAATCAATTTTGTCCATTCTCATCTGTTCCTTAGAGAAATGGATCTTTCGACATGTATAGTGTTATGATTTGATGGACTTTAAGAACCCACATCGTATCATGCTTCCTGCTATAAGAGAAAAAAAAATACAATTATTGATTTTTTTTATGTAGAGTTTATGTGTTTGGTCTTTCATAATTATGTGATATAAGATACTTGTTATTAGCAAAAAAATTGTTACTGTTTAACTTGGATCCATTGCCACATCAGCAACAGCCCACTACCATATCATCTTGTAGATTCACTATCATGTCATCGTGGACAGCTGACATAGTGGGCTGCCACTGGAGCCTATATTGGATCTAGGTGGACTGACCTTGAGTGTTTTAGCCCAGTCAGCCTTACAGCCCAAATTAATATAATAGGCTGGAATCAATTGAACCCCATTTAAATTCGTATCGAACCTTAATTGATGTGACTTAAGTCTGACTTGAACCTAACCTCAAATTGATTGAACCAAACCAATCCCAAATTGGTGGAATCCAACCCGGGTGCAATCAAACTCAGAGATCTGACCTAACAATGTTGCAAGTCGGCTCCTTGCTCGGCCCAACCTAAGCACCCTGGACCTGAGCGGGTCCCCACCTAGGCCATGCTTTTGTTGATGTGGCTCCAGTCCAGGCAAGAAGCTGGCCTGTAGCTCGGACGGGCCGCATGGTTGAGCCTTAATGCCACCAAGTTCGACCACATTAGGAGTAGAATTCCATCAATTTGAGATTGATTTAGTTCAATCAGTTTGAGGCCAAATTCAAGTAAGACTTAAGTTATATGAATTAAAGTTCAAACAGATTTAAATGTTGTTCAATTGATTCCATTCCAACTTATTTACATTGATTTAGGCTATAAGGAGGATGGAACCAGACTACTTAATGTTGATCCACTTGATCCAATATAGACTGCAGCAGTGGCATGTTGTGTAAATGGTTTTGCTAACACAACAAGGGGTCTGCATGATGACATGGTAGTGGGCACTTGCTGATATGGCAGCAGACTCAAGTTAAATAGATTGAACCAGATCAATTAAGGCCGGTCCACTTAGATCCAATATAGACTGCAGCAGTGGCATGTTGTGTAAATGGTTTTGCTAACACAACAACAGGTCTGCATGATGACATGGCAGTGAGCACTTGCTGATATAGCAGCAGACTCAAGTTAAACAGAAATATTTTCTTTTTCTAATAACAAGTATTTTATATTAAGTAATGATTAACGTCTTATCATATAAACTTTATATAAAAAAGTTATGGATACCATAATTCCAACTTTCATATATTTTCAACATGTAAAACATAATATATAAACCTTTTTTTCTTTTATAACAGGATGCACAATATACACACACACAAATACATACATACAAGGTGGATCACATCTGCTATCAAGTAGTAGTTGTTGTTTTAACCAAAGATAAAACCATACTTTAAATGACTGATTTACCTTTCCAATTATAAAACTAATAACAAATATTTGAAAATCATACATCAAAACTTGTCTCTATGTTGGTTTCATACTTAAAAATGATTTCTTGTAATTATAGGATTCATTCGAGTGCATGTTTATATATATATATATATATATATATATAGCCGAAAACAACAAGAAAACAGCCAAATTTACAGAGACGAGATAAATCCTTTAAAAAGCATGAAAAATAACACTAAATTTAGCAAATCCAGAACTTGTGCATCAAATAGACCGTGGATTTGATCTGCCTCAAACCAAAAAAATCAATAAGCAATAAACCTAAAGAGAAACCATCACAGTCTTCAACCCCAACCGAAGTTTCACAAATGCGTTAAATTTGTCACCCATGACCGAATTTGGAACATAGAAGACAAAGTTTCGAAC